CGCCTCACGTGATGGAAACAGCGGAGGGGTACAAATACCCAGCTGTGTTCCTGAGGTGGGATCTCTGCACCCGCCACAGGGAAAATATGAGTCAAGGCCTCTTACAAGGACAGTCATAAAGCTAATTTCTTCTCTTCTGTTTCAGTGATTGTAGAACAGGGCTCTTTCCCAGGAACTGAGCATGGGATCACCCGTGCTGGAAGCATAGGTCTCTGCTGGTTAAACTGAATAAGCTGGCAGTAGCAGGTCATGACATGGACACAAGCCTTAAGTTCAACTTTCAGTCATTGTTCAACTTTCAGCCTGCTCCCAGAGACCTGGGAGGATTTGTAGCAAGATGTATAGGATGAAACTTGTTAAGTTTCCTCAAGGATGCTGACATGACCTTGCCTCCTCTTTTTACTGCAGGCGCCTCTCTGGAAACCAGCTCTTCAGGATCCCAGGGGAAGCCTTTTCTGGCCTCTACAGTTTGAAGATTTTGTAAGTCACATTTTCTCAGCCTACTGTTTATACCATCCATCAGGCAACAATACCTTTTGTCCACAAGACATGGGCCTCTGCCCCATTCAGAGCCAGCTGCAATGTAATATGGTACCATATTACCAGTTTCTAAATCCATGCAGGTTAAATGCCAAGCCAGATGATCTTGCAGCAGCTTTCGTGCACACTAGAGCTCTGGCATACCACTGGTTATAACTACAGGCAACAGCATTATCATTTGGTACTGTAGGGAAGCCCATAGGACATAGGTGCTGCCTGAAAATGAATGACAGACAAATGTCTGAAGGTTCAGAGTTTGGACACTCATCTGAAGAGCCAGGCTGAAAGCTGAAGCATTTACCTGGAGTTTATTCAGGACTTGCTCCAGCCCACTGAAGTTGAAAGGTCAAATGCAAAAAACATGCCTGGGTAGAGGCCAAATTGCCATTGCATCAGCATCTCCCAAACACTAATTCATTCAGGATTTAGGATACAGGATGAATCCTGATGAATCCCATCGGGATTCATGGGTTCCCCTTAACAGGCCTACAGAGTTCTCTAATAGGCCTTAGACAATATCCTGCTGGGTACAAGATAGAGACTCCTGTCCCTTGCACCGGCTCTCTCTGCAGCCCCGCCATTCTGCTGCCCAAAGAGGAAGGTAGCGGGGCCTGGGAACAGCCCTGCCCGTGGTGTCGTAGGACTAGCAACTCATGGGCAGACTTCTTTCCTGACATAATCTCACAGCACACGTGGGAGTCCTACCAAGCATGAATTCGCACGGCTCTCTGCAGCTACCAGACAGTCCAGCTGCAGCCTCTGCTTAGCACCTAGTTCCTTTTTCTTGCTTTCAATACACATTCTTCACATTTCCCCTGCAATAAACATTTCACCCCGGAGGGGATGTTTTGAACTCAACCGCAATGTGAAATTGTCGTCGTTGGCCCAGTTTATATGAAGCAAGCAGGTACAAACCTGCTCTCGGGATTAGAGAGTACAGTGCTGTTTACTAGGCCTTCTGAAGATGTAAAGCATGAATCCTGCCCTAAATCTCTAGGCTTAGCAATGAGCTCCTTCTTTATCCACTGCCTGCATTAGGCAATGAATCAAAGGAACTGAGGAAAAACCGCAGCTCACCCACCCAATTTCAACAAGAGGAACTTTCTACTTGGGGAACTTGTGGGCTTTGAAAGCCTCTTTTGATCAATTCATATTAGAGTCACTCCCAGCCAGCTAATGATGCAGAACATAGGAAGGGTGAAGCCTGCACAGCATCCCCTGCAGACTACAGTAATAACAACAAGCCAGCTCTGCCTCGCACAGGACTGTCCAACTTCTGAGTGGGTGGGGGCCACCTACCACGCTGGCCACAGGCCCCCAGGGTGCGCACCACACAAGTGGGTGCACACCATGCGAGCTCCCTGAGGCCACTCTCTCCCATGCTGTGGGACCAGTGCAGCTCCCCCATCTCATGTGCAGCATGAGCCCTTCTCCCCCTGCAAGCCTTCTCCATTGCTGCAGCTCTCACTGCCCACTCCTACCATGCTGCCCAGCCACAGAAAACCCTGCCACTGCAGCAGCAGAAGCAACTGGGAGGCGTAGTGGCTGGGCAGGTTCCTGGGAGCTGCACATTAACCCCTGATGGGCTGGAGTGGCTGATGGGTCACCAGTTTGACAGCCCTGGCCTAGCAGATACCAGGGAAGGCTGCAAGACTTCCCCATCCTTCTTCTGTGATAGGCAGGGTGGGTTCTGCACTCTCAAAAGTGGGTGTGCTTCAACCCCAGCCTAGAGCCTCCCCCCCACAAGGGAGAAATTAGGAAGGAAAATGCACACAGAAACTCCAGGCTGTCTCTGGCATAAGCCCAGCACACAGCAAAGTGGAGTCCTGCTTTGCCATGCACAATCCAGCTGTACCTCCCAGCCCCCCAGCAATGGTGAGGACAGCAAAGGGAAGAGAATCAAGGCTTGACCATGTCCCAATAGCCACCCACCCACTGGAGGGCTGAGGCCATGCAGGCCTCTGTATTGACACAGCCAAGGCAGGGTCCTGGCCAGTTGGAAGGTGTTTCGAAGCAATCAAGGCTCTCTGTGCCATCACCTCCACCTAGTCGAGGAATGGGGACTCCTACGTACCCACAGATTCTGGGACAACATAGTGTCCTACAAAGTGTCCAGGAGGCAGAAAGGACTGGCAAAGGAAAGGTTAAAATGTCCCCTCAGAGCTAAACTAGAGGGAATAACAAGATGGGGAGGATGGCCCTTTACATATATGAGTAGTGAGGGGTCTTTTGAAGGGGCTTTCTGCTTTCAAACAGCAACTCACTGTCTTGCCTGCCTGTCGACTGCTGGGAGCGTGCAGCCTCCCAGAGCTTCTGCTGCATGTGCTGGATTTCTGGCCCTGGTTGCTGTGGTGTGTAAAGCTGTCGTGTGCTTCTGATTTACAGCCTTCCTCCTGGAGCTGCTCTAATTGTTTTCTGTAACGATATTGCTGGCTTCCTGGGGGTGAGGTCACTGGCAGATGCAGTTGTGTCTCCCCTCCAGACTCACTACTGGTTTCTGCTTCCTTCACCCCACTTATTTTGCTACCATGAGAGGGAGGCACATGGAGAAGGGGCTACAGATTGGCAGGATGATCTCTGAGGACTCACTGGGATTTGACAAGCCACCAGGACTGGTGTGAGCATTAGGGGATGAAGCAGTCTCTCAGCCTTCATGGCCACTTCCCACCCCAGGGTTGCTGAGTGCTGTTCTATCAGGCAGGGTCAGGGAGCTGGGTCCTTCACCCAGCTTTGCCATTCATCTGCTGGGGGATTTGGGGCAAGACAGGTCCCCCTTGCTGCCTCTGTTTCCTTTCCCAACCTATGCCTGCCTTTCCTGCTCAGGCTGTAAGCCTGTCAGGGCAGGTATCGTCTCTGGCTGTGTGTACATAAAGCACCTGACACAATGGGGCTAGGCTGGGGCTTCTTCATACTGTTGTGATACAGATCTCCAAGACGCCCTCTGAGAGAAAGAAAGCACCGATGACATTTTGCAGATGGGGAAAATGAGGCACAGACAGCTGAAGAATGGGACCTGTATCAGAGCAAGAGTATCCTGCATGAGCCTACCATCAGTTCCTTCCACCTTCCCCTGAAGCATGTGGTGCTGCTGGTGGCCAGAGGATGTCAGACCCACCCCAGTGGAACAGAGGAATCATTTCACTGGGTCGCTGGCCACATTCTCTGCCCTTGTGACCTATGGAGGAAATTGCCTGTTGGGTTTCAACTGGCAAAACTACAGGTGTAAAGGACTCAGCAGTGCACATGACACCAAATTTAGTCAGGTGTTGCACCGATTCTGTATTCAATCATGCCCTGCATATTGTGGAGCCATTCACACCTATGCAAAGTGGGTGTGAGAAGGCCTCTCTCTGGCAATATTAGACACCCCCTTGGTGAACAGTGATCTGGCCTTGGTTATACGCACTTCTTTTCACCTCCTAGCTAAACTACAGCAACGCAGTGTACCTGGGCATAAATCGTTTTGCAGTGAAAGGCTAAGCTGTTGAGGGTTAGCTTTTATTGCCATGGGATAAAAGTATGACCATGGGCACTTACTGCATTAATTTATCCGTGCACCCCTACCCTGCCCAGAGCACTGCAGTATGTCTCCTCAGCTACACAGGCTAGCACAAGCACCTCTGCCTTCCCCCTGGCTCCCTACACCTGCAGAATATCCTGTGGAATAGCAGGTCCAGCTCAGGGGACTCATCCTTATCTTCAAGGGACTCCATGGCCTGATTCCCAGGATACCTATAAGAGCCACAGCCTCTTGGATAGCAACTCCACTCCCCAGGCCAAGGGGACTTTCTATATTAGAAATGACCTGCACAAGAGACCAAGTGTTCTCAGGAGCCTGTCCCAGAGAGTGGGATGTATTCCCATGGGACCTATGGACCACTACAAACATCCCCACCTTTCATTGCAAGTGCAAGGTGTCCTCCATCTTGCCTTCACCGCTGCAAGCATGTGCACCTTGGAGGTAGTAACTAGGGACTGAATTGCCAGGAGAAGAGAGCCCTGGGGCATGGGGTATTAAAAAGCAAGATGTATCCCACAGTCTGAGATATCCCTGCAAATGAGCTATCGCAGGGCATCAGCAATCTGGGGCTGCTAGGTATCATGCAATATTAGACTTGAAATAACATGAGCTATCTCAGGACATGAGCTGCTTTAGAAATACTCAAATGGGGTTGTCTGCGGAGTGAAATCTGTTCTGCCAAAAGGGTCCCTCTTTGTCAGCCCTAAAGATTGAGGCCCTCAATCTATGGGCACACAGGCCTGGCAGGTGTGGTGACAGTGTCTGCCTCCATCCCCTTTGTCTACTTAGTGGTCCTACCACCATGCTTCAGGCCCATGATGTGGCACAGAAGAGCTCAACCTCCACCCAGTGCAGTCTCTGTGAGGAGGGCATGCAATATTCATCCTTTGGAAACTGGACCAGGTGGGCACCCGCCCTCTCACATGAGACCCCCCCTCTATCAGTGGGGAGTGACTTTGGATACTAGTGCCCCCACCCCAGTGTTCTCAGGGGAGCAATTCAAAACTAAAAAGACTGCTTCTTCTCTAGCTCCGGGGTCAAGCAGGAGTGACGCCACTGTGGTGTGTGGGACTGGTTCTCTCTAGCTGTCACATGGCTGGATCACTGTGTCCATGGGAAAGGGGATGCACAGGGCAAAATGCCCTGCAATACCAGGTCCACCAAGACACTCTGGCTGGTTCATGGCAGTCTGCTGTCCTCCTGGCTTGGCCAGCTAGTTATGTGGGACTGGGTGTGTGGCTGCCTTACATTGGGAGAGCAATGCAGAGAGAACACTGGTGCATCTGGCTGGTGATGCTTGTGCATCCTTCACACAGGTGTGAAGGTGTCAGGTAGAGGAAGATGCAGCTGAGCGGAGTTATGCCTGCTCTACCCAAGCATGAGAAGATTGGACCCCCTGAGTATTTTGGTTAAGAGTCAC